ATCTTGTTTCATTTTTCTGCAAATGGATCTCCAGTTTTGCCAGCACCATTTATTAAACAAACATTCTCTTCCCCACTTAATGGATTTGGGGTGGGCAATCTACTTCTGTAGTGATACTGCCTCAGAAACCCAAGGAGGGGTCGCTATGAGTCGGGTCCGACTTGACGGCAGATAACAACAACAACAACATAAGAGACCAAACAGTCAACAATTTTAACACAAGGATGAGAAGGGAAGGAAGTAGGGAAACTAGATTAATGGAAACAGAACAACCAGAATGGAAATAATGAGTGTGTTCATGCATTTTGAAGAATGTAACCAATGTCACTGGACAATTTGTGTAGACATTGTTGAATGAAGACCTAAACTACTGTGTAAACCTTCACCAAAAACACAATAAAATATTATTTGAAAGAAAAAAAAAAGTGGCAAACTGTTTTCCAAAGTAGCTGTACCATTTGACATTCCCACGAGCAATTGATGAGGACAGACTATACATTTCCCTGAGGATTGGGGACCCAGTTTACTATTTAATCATGAGCCACATTCAGCAACTTCATGACTGGGAAAGAAGTGAATAATCTTCTGAGTAATGGATGATGGTATTCGTGACTTTATGTCTCTCTGAACACTGCACCCCCAAGTAGCGCTGTGCCATGGCCAATTGTCCTGAACACTCGTTAGGCAACAGCTCACCAGCCGCGAAGTGTTCACACATCATCGGCAGCTCCCACAGTGTTACACCACTCGGGCTTTCCCTGCTGCTGACTGGACCGAAAACATGTGAAAATGACAAACCCTAAACAAGGTGGCTATGCCATTCGAAGCCACTGTGTTAGGGAAAGGAGATCAACACTCTGGTTGCTCTGAGCAAAGGGAATGTGACGTGAGAATCTGTTCTCTAGTGTGCGTGCTTAAACATTCTCTGTTGAAAACTTGAGAAAAGCCAGTTGAGAAGGAAGAAAACATCTCCTACCGACTACAATGAGCCCTGGCTTTGAAAGAGTCATGCACAGTCTCATGCCCCAATCAATTCAGAAAGTTCTGGGTAATTAACTGAGCTGCTGCGGAAATTTGATCACTAATCTGACAAGCATCACTAAGCAGTTCCAGACCCAAGGTAACATTCCAGCTTCTCAAAGCTTCCAGATTGAATTGACCTGGTTCCCCAGATAAAGGAATTTGCACGAATGCCTTTGGACCTCCAATTTCATCCAAGAAGACATCACTATCTGCAGCTGAAGGATCAATGGACAAATTAGTTTTTTGAGGTTGAGTTTACATTTCTATGTTCTACTCATCATTTGTTTTTTGAACCTACCTTGGGTGTCTCTCTCTCTCTTTTTTTAAACATTTTATTGTGGTTTGAGTGAAAGTTTACAGAGTATATTAGTTTCCCATTCACAGTTTATATCCATTTTGTTTCATGACATTAGCTGCATTCCCTTCAATGTAACAGCCTTCTCCCTGCTTCCTCCCTGGGTTCCCTGTTTCCATTCACCCATCTTTCCTGCTATGTTCTGGAAATCTTGTCAACAGTCTTCAAAAGAAAAAGCTAAGATGTATGTGTAGGAATATCGTTCAGAATCATGGTCTATAGAAAATCATTAAAAGCATCATGAACACAGAAATTGTTGTTGTTGTTGTTAGGTGCCCTCGACTTGTGTCCGACTCCTAGCGACCCTATACACAGCAGAACAAAACACCACCCAGTCCCGCGCCAGCTCCATGATCCCTGCTGTACTTGAGACCATCGTCACAGCCACCATGTCAATCCATCTTGTTGAGGGCCTTCCCCTCTTTCGTCGATCCTCCACCTTACCAAGCATGACATCCTTCTCCAGGGAATGGTCCCTTCTGACAACATGACCAAAGTAGGTGAGATGAAGTCTGGCCATTCTCGCCTCCAAAGAGCATTACGGCTGCACTTCCTCCAGGACAGATCTATTAGCTCTTTTAGTAGTTCATGGTACTTTCAGCAT